GCCCCACTTCCCCTCCCACAGCAGTGGCCCTGCCTGGTCACCCCCCGAGAAACATTTCAGGTTGAAGCAGAGGTGTCCGAAGGCTTCCTCAGAGATGCAGGCACAGCCCCGGCCAGTTGGGCTCAGTGGACAGAGCGCCTCCCCCCTCGGCCAGTGGCTCTGCTCACCAGGAGGCGGCGCTGAGATGGGGCAGAGCCATGTCCCTCCTCCTCCAGCCTCCATCCACTCCTGTCCCTCCCGCCCCCACCCACCTGGACCAGGAGCCTCTGTGACCCCACAGCCGCTTTCCTAGAAGCGCGAGGCCGCCCGCCCTGCCAGGCCCCTCACCTGCGAGCTGGAGGAAGGTGCTCCACGGGAAGGCGGCGTTGGGAGCCGTGGCGATTCCTGGGCCACAGGGGGGGGGGGATGGGGGGGAGAGAGAGAGAAAGAGAGAGAGAGAGAGAGAGAGAGAGAGAGGAGAGAGAGGGAGAGAGAGGGAGGGAGAGGGAGAGAGAGCGTTCATGCAGCTGAGACAGCAGCTACTCCGTGCGGACCCTGCAGTGGAGCCACACCTGGTCCCGTGGGAGCCGCCCCGAGTCCCCAGGGCTCCGTGAGCCCCGCTGCTGCCTCCGCACACGAGGTTCAAAGTGACACCCGGGGCCCCAACGAGAAAACCCAACCGTCCACGTCTGGGCCAGTGGCCTCTGGGCCCCAAGGTTTGTTTCCTGAAAATCACGTGTAAGGGGCGAGGGGGGGGGCGGGGGGTGTGGCTCAGTGGTTGAGCGTCGACCTAGGAACCAGGAGGTCAGGGTTCGATTCCCGGTCAGGGCACCTGCCTGGGTTGCGGGCTCCATCCCCAGTGGGGGGCGTGCAGGAGGCAGCCGGTCCATGACTCTCTCTCATCACGGATGTTTCTCTCTCTCTCCCTCTCCCTTCCTCTCTCTATAAAAATGAAACATTGGCAACTAAACTCGAATAGTCCCGGGTAGCAATGACGTCCTTATTCAAATCCCTGACCTCCGCTTCTCCAAACCGGACATGACTGTCTGCCATCGGGTCGCGTCCTCAGGCAGACACACGTGCAACGTGCTCTGGAAAATTAACATTTAAAGGTGCACGGGCCCGGCAGCATCTACCAGACGATCTTTTCTTTAAGAATGTTTTCCACTTGCAGTTTACATCCCATGTCGCTTTGCTGTCGTTCAGGTGGACGGCGTCGCGGTTGGACAATCATCTAGTTTACAAAGTGGTCCTCCCCCCCCCCCCGGGACTTTCCCACCTGGCACCAACCAGCCAGGGACGGAGCCTGCCACCGAGGTGCGAGCCCCCGATCGGACTCCAACCCAGGACCCTTCAGTCCTTGGGCCGGCGGCTCTAACCACTGAGCCCCGGGCAGGGCCATGTATCTTATGTCTTAATGTGAGAAAATAAAACGCGTCCGTCCTGTGAGCTGCTGTTCAGTACCTCTCAGCCACCACACTCGTTCACAAACACCTCAGTCCGTGTCTCTAGAAGGTAAGAATTTTCCCCCCAAATATATTTAGAAATTCTTACCTTGACCCTGGACGTAGATCTTGCCCTTTGCCTGTGGCTTTTGAAAGGAGGGAGGAAAGAAAGAAAAGGAAAACAAGTAAATTCATGGCCCATGACAACAGCTTTTTAGAAATGAGATGAAGGCCATAAAAACAAAGAAATCCCCTTGGAAACACGGCGGGCAGCATGGGGGACGCTCTCAGGGCAGCTCCTCACGCCAGCAAAGAGCTGCCCCGCCCGAGGGCAGGAGAGCCCGCTCAACACAGCGCCCTCGGGAGGCAGCCCCGGGAGGAGTCCCTGCGATGAGGCGGGACAGGAGTCTGAGCTTCGTGGTGACTGGGTCAGCGGGGAAGCTACCGCAGCTCCAACCAGCGCGGCCAGCGACAGAGCACGTGGTGCGTGTCCTGCGCTGAAGCTGGGGGGGGGGAGCGTTGGGGGAAACATGGTTTGGGGGTGCACATCCTTAAACAGGAAGAATACACTCCCGGAACTCTGGGAAAAAGAAGGGAGGAGATGGAGATGGAGGAGGAG